ATTTTTTTCGTGTGCCTTTGATTCACACACGTACGAAATGATGAACTCGGCGAAGAAGCCCACACGAGCAAGGCATCCGTCGGGCATCGCCATTCCCCTCCGCTGTGTACAGGGCTGATTGTGGGCAGCCTGTGACTAAATTGGCAACTTTCAGAATCCATTGTTGCGTATACATGGGCGCTTCTGACGCGTACTTCCACACCGTGTGACGGCGTGACGCCGCCGCACTGCGGCGGTTGCAGTCTGCGACTTGTAGCCACATCCGGCCGAATACCCTATACTTTACCTACCGCTGTAAAAACAAAAATCTGTGTACTTTATGATCTTGTTTGGTAAGCAAGCAGGGCTTACAGCGCACCACCCACGATCTTGTACAAAAGAGACCTCGATGCACGTGTCGATTACCTATCACAAGTCGAAGCTCGCCCGGAGGGCAGTCAGCACTGCATGACTCACAACTCATTCAGGCGTCGTGCTGATCAAGTTTCCCAATTATGCAATGCCCAGTGGGCATTGCCCACTAAAAAATGCCATGAACTCAAACGTGATTCACGAATCGTCAAGCAATTTGTACGCCGATACTCTTACGATTGTTCTAGTATATACACGTAGCTAAACCCTTCTTCGAAAAGACCGGTTGCGCTTCTCGGTGTAGAGCTGCGCAAGGCCACAATACGTACCTTAGGTAGTGCGTATTAATACAGGTACGGTATGATCTGAGTCGGTCCTTTGGAGTCTGAACAGCGAATTTGGTTTATCGTACCTGCTGCGCACATTCATCTTGCAAACCGTACACACCCGTTCCTACGATTGTGAGCAGCCACTGATCCGTCAAACAAGGCGAAAGAATACTTACGAATCCCAGTATGGATAGCGAAACCGATCGCTTCAATTTTACATGTCGGCCAGTCAAATTGACTCGTCACTGTGCGGTGCACTGCTGCTTGGACAATCCATCAGACGAGGTCCGGCTAGTGGCTACAGTCGGCTGATAACCTGCGCAGTCTGTCACTCTGCGCATGGTTTCGTCCTCAGCTTCTCATATCATTCAGCATTTTGCTTCCGACTACGCACGCACCTGCATCGTTCAAGACGTTCAGCCCGGTCCTAAGCAAAATGCTATTGATTCAAGTCTTGCTCGTGTTCCTGGTCGCTCTGTTTGTAAGCTGCGAGGCTGCTGCCACTCAGAACCAACTCACGATCACCACCACGGATTCGACCGCGACCGCCAAGGCCCTTCAGAAGTTTTTCACCGAGGATGCCACGCAGAACAGGAACAACGGCTTTCTCAAGGTCGTGACTCTCCCCTCCAGTGAAGAAGAGCGTGCCAGCACGAGTACGGGTGCCATTACCGCAGGTGAAGGTGCTCGTGCTGCAGCTGGCACCACGGTGGTGTCGAGTGACACCACATCGGGTGAGACTGTGACGGTGACCGTCTACAACAACAACGGACTCTGGCAGCGCTTCCTGCGATGGTGGAATCGACTATTCCACGTATCTTCAAACCGCCTACTTCGAGAAGGTGGGAAGAAGTGAGCGCTTCCTTAACTGTTAACCCCTCCTTCAAAATGAAGGACATTAAGCGTTTTATGATATTATCATTGCTAGCTACTCTGGTATTACCCAACCTAATGAACGGTACAATAATCTTCAACATCCCCCAACAGTATTCGTTAGATTTCTGCTAGTGGGTGAAGAGAACCAACTTGATGAAAATGATGCCTTTTACCAGGTGACTATCCTTCTCCAGTTCAACTGTAAACTTCTGACCTTGAGTAACTCGTGATCTATCGGCGTAAAGTTGCAATGATACTTTAATTAAAAGTCGGGCAGATTTGTTGTCGGAGAAATGAACTGGCACGCAACATTCAAACTTGTACTTGTAGACGGCAGGAACGAAACTGTGAAGTTCACAGTCACAGTGTGAACCAACCATGAGAGAAAGATATTCTGATTAATTTCTACGCACTGGACAGCAACCAGAAAAACCCATTACCCCACTGAAAAAGAAATTAACTGGCTAATTTCCTCACTGTCGTGTTAGCCTATAGTAGTAGGAGTCCACCTTTTCATAAAATGCATCCGATGGGCTCACTAGTGAGTATTACTGGGGAGGATCAGTACATTTTTGTTCATAATAGCGAAACCCATCCCAACTACAGAAGTGCCGTCCCAATAACTAGCATCCAACTATCCCGTTCAAGTCGATTTACATTTACCTTCCTGCTTTAACCTTTAAAACTTCAATTCTTATAGTAAACCGTTTCAAACGCGGAATACATTTGTATCTATTCTTTCGGTTTGACATCTACTTCTAGTAGTGGTACACGTCAAGTAAAATTCTGATGAAGTCTAGCCTTCGAAAACAAATTGGGAAAAGCTCGTTCACTTTCTTACATTGAAATGCTCGAAAGAGGTATTGAAAGATGAAGATTTTTTTTATATCATTCATTACTGGCATCATGCCAGGTATCCGTGTACTCCTTGCGCAAGTTTAAACAACCATGAAGCTGCAGCTGGTTGGGGGAGTGGGTAAACAATACAAACGGGTTCTCTAATGCGTATCAATTATCGGTTCGAAGGGTGCGAGTCGAGTTCGCAGCAGACCCTGTGAATAGTCGATTCCACCACCGCAAGAAACGTTGCCAGAGTCCGTTGTTGTTGTAGACCGTCACAGTCACTGTCTCGCCCGATGATGCGTCATTAGCCACCACTGTAGTTCCTGCTCCGGCACGTGGGCCTTGTCCAGATGTGATTGCACCTGCGCTAGCACGTTCTTCATTGCTTGACGAGAGAGTCACAACCTTGAGAAAACCATTGCTCTCGTTCTGCTTAGCGTCGTCGTTGAAAAACTTCTGAAGGGCCTTGGCAGTAGCGGTAGAGTTCGTGGTAACAATTGTGAGTTGTTTCTTGGTCGGGTTGGCAGCCTCGTTGCAGCTTACAAGCAGAGCAACCAGGAGTACGAGCAGGGCTTGGAAAAGCACACGCATCGCCCTTGATATCAGGGGTTTCTTGAGCTGTGTTGGTGGTTGGACGCGAAATATGAAATGAGTTTTGGGAACACGTCTCCACCGAATGGAGGGTGTCCTTTGGCGAGCTGATTGCGGAAAGTAATGATGTGTTGAAATTCAGCTTTGAGGCCAATGTCAACCCGTCCCCGGTGTGGGTTTCAGCAGATCATACATCCAGACATTAGGCGTGCAGTATGCAGTGGATAACAGCGCACCCGTCGTAACGAATTAAAGCCCTTTTGAAGTTTCGTTAGTAGGCGTGCAATGCATGCGAAGCCAGCCCGTGGTCACTGTCGGTTCTTCTGCCTGGTGTGGGAATCACGCGTACACGGTACTACCGTGAATGCCCGAGTGTTTTTTTTTTCGGGGTCCTTTGACAAAGGCTTTGTGGCCGGCTCACTATCTTTACGGAAACTACCCCTTGTTATGGGTATACATTATCCAAGTGAACAGTTTTGAAATCGAAGGAATTGACCAATGCGAGACACGGTTCTGTGTGAAAGCATGTCAATGACGCGCCGTCATGGCGTGTACAGTATGTATCATGGCATCCATGGCACTGATATTATCAGCCATGGTGAAGGTGCCTGTCTTACTGGTGAATTTTGTGGTGATAGGCAACCGCCACGCGCGCTCAGGTATTGCTGTAACAAAGATTCTCGATCAGGACTCTAGAACAAGATCATGGGTGCCATCGCGTAAGCGTAGCGTGGTTACCAAACATCAACACTCATCAGTAAAGTAGAGCATGGCATTGGTTCAAGTTTTGCACCAATGCCAGTGCCATTCTTTCACAGTGCAAAAGGCAGTTGTTGCTGTTAAAAGCGACCGTGGTGTGATTCTGCATGCATGTATACGCTTCATGTAGCGTGTCTTTCCGTCTAGAATTTTTTAGGTGGAAAACCGCGATAGCAGTGCAGAACGGCACATGTTTTGTCAGCACTCTTTTAATTGCGCTGAATTAAAACACTGTAAACTCTGCAGGCTTACCACCGTTCAGAATCCGATATTTCCCACCGGGAAATGTTGGTGTGCATGTTCGTCACGTGATGTGGGTCACTTGTCTATGATTATCAATGTACAGTACTGTGGTAGCAAATGTATACCTTCTCATTTGCTTTAATGCTAGTAGTTTTCAAAGCTCGAAAACAAAATATTCGAACATTCCAGAGCATTCTCACTGTAGAATTGGATGAGATACCATGAAATATATCGCATATCCAGCCCGTTCTCCGCAAGCAGCAAAAAAAAAAATGGTATCCGAGCCAGTAAAGAGCACTTATTTGGAATTGATACAGAAGCTTAACATAGCGGTTGTCTCAAATGGGGAAAATAATATTCTCAACGCATACCTAGTATTATACGAGTGAAATTGCTTCACCTCTGCAATCAAGTTCAGGGTCTCAACGTATAATGAAAAAATGTGATCCTACTGATCCCCATATCGCAGGCTGCGATTCGCAGCTACTGTAATGACTGTTTCGCCGTCGGCGTCGCGGAGAGCTGGCGTAAAAATATGTAAAGCATGGCCCACTTGACACTTCTGACACTACTCCTTGTGGCTGTCAGAGATTGGTACAGCCGAAGAGAGCCAGGGAATGAGCATCGGTACACGGCTTTGGTAGAGCTTGTACAATGGGTATTTGGACGCTGTGACGTACTCCGTGAAAGGCGCCGATCCCTGAAACAGCAGCGTCAGCAAGATCGTGCCCAAACTCGATGAATTGAACGTCTGCTTCGAAACAGCAACACTAAAGATGTAGAAAGCCCACCAGAGTGACATTTCGCCGAAGAAATTCGGGTGCCGACTGTAGCGGAAGAGCCCACTACGGTTAAAACCGGCCTTGTAGTCTCCAGTGAGCGGCTTCTTCAGTGCGATCAACTTGTATTTCATGCTGTAGAAATTCCACTGCTGTTGGTCAGCTACGGTCTCAAGCACTAGGAACAAGAGGAACAACACCGTCGCGACTACATCCACCTCGTTCAACTCCTCGTGGCGATGGAAATACACCACGTAGGAAGGTACAGTCAGCAGCAAGAGTAGCAGGTGTTGATAGCCAGCGATGAACGTGAGATTCAGCACTTCGAACAGCGTCCAGTGCATGTATTGCCGTACGACAGCCCATCGATAGTCCTCCTCGCTGAGTTTGTAACCTCCTTTGCGCCAGAAGTTAAATGTGAGTCTGCAGCCCCATAGCGTCGTCAACACTGCCATCAATAGTAATCGCTGGTCCCACACACCGTCATCCCTCAAGTATGCGTGAAAGGCAAAGTGCCAAGCAAACATCGGCGGAGTGATAGACCACAGACGGTCAGTGAACGAGTAGTTGCGCGTTACGACACTTGCCAGCCACGTGAGGGCGATCAGGACTAGCAAAAGCTGCAGAGCCACAGCCAATGCGTTCGACGCCGCATACGGAAGGAGATTTGGCTGCAGTGCTTCTGTCCAAGCTTCTTGTGCATGCAGCAGCGCATCGTGCCACGTAGTGAACGGATAGGAAGACGCCATTGTCCCGGAGGAGAATGAGGAATAGAAACGGCCGGCAGCTCAAACTCCATAAACGGTACGCAGTGAATCCTTGCATACCCGACCTCAATCGGGTCTGTGAGGTCGACGACGGCAGCACATACAATCGGCCTCAATGGGGGGGAGGGGGGCATCTGCTTGCCTTTGGGAATGGTTGGCTCCTAAACTTTAGGCTAAAGTGTATCTGGAGGTCCGTCGGGTGGACATCAAGATATAGATCTTATTGTCTCAAATCCAGCGCACGGCTCACAATACGAAGGCGTGCGAGTGTGCTGGCGCTGCAGGTCGAGCAGGAAGTCGATCATGGCACATTTCGGCATCAAACTGCCCCTGACTTGAACAAAATATGTCCAAAATGGGCTCAAAGGTCCTTAACATTTATACACTTACCTATAAAATGATCCCACCTTTACAGGTGTACCCATTCTACAGTCGCAAAAACGTCAACCGCCATCTCCATGTTGCGCACTCGATGTGGCACGTTGGCGTCCATATCTCTGCTGCTGTTGGTGCTCACGCTCTTTCCATACCAGCACGTTGTAGCCCAGATTGACGTCTTGTCAGATCACGAAAGCCCCGCCCTCCCAGCGTCTGTAGCGCCTACAACCCCACGGGACGCGACCTCCAAATCTTCGTCTAGTAATAGCGAGCAGAAATCCGCGCCTTCTGCTGCCCCAATTGCACATTCGAGCTTGGATTCCAGTACCCATGGGTCTCTAGATGCTGTGGACGCAGTGGTGACAGCCACCGATGTGTCCATCGACCAAGTAGAGGAACATCTTCACATTGTACAACAACTGGAACTCTCGGTGGGGAAAAGTCTGCAGGGAATGGACGCAGGCGACCAGTTCACCAGATATACGCAAGCCCAGCTACGTGAAAGGCAAAATTTAAGAGAAGAGCTGCAATTAGTGCAGAGAAACCTCAAGAGACTCGCTCTGGGACTCAACGGGACACTATTGGAGCTCGAACATGTCGAGCAGGAGGAGGAATTGCAGTCCAAGAAGCTGAAAGAGGTGCTTGCTCATCAGGAAGAGGAGGAACGTGAACAGAAACTCGAGAAGAACGGCATTAAAGAAGTAGATTATGAAACGGGACACTTAAAGAACACAACGGGGCTGAATGCTGAGCAGTTGAAGAAGCTGGAAGAGGTGGAGAAGAAGGCGGATCCAGCAGTGTTACACTACGATATGGAGTTGTTAGCGCAAGTGGCTGTATTGCTCGGAGTGTCGGCTATTGGAGGGATTATCGCTACGTACTTTAACATTCCTCCGCATGCAGGGTATGTTCTGGGTGGAGCGCTAGTGGGGCCGTCGTGTTTGGGCGTTGTAAGACTGTACAAGGAAGTGGAGACGATCTCGCTATTTGGTTCGGTATTCCTGCTATTTGGACATGGCGCTGCATACTCGCCACAGCAACCCGAGGACATCTTCAGGAAGTATTTTGTCGGTGGTGTGGCGTATATCATGTCTACTGTACTGCTGGTTGCCGGTGTGGCAGTCTATATTGGATGGACGCATTCGTTCATTGAGGGGCTGAGTATTGGCTTGGGCGTGTGCTTTTCAACGACTGCGCCGCTTTACGAACACATCAGGGAAAATAGGATCCAGGACTCTTCTTTCGGCCGGGTAAGCGCTGAAGTCCCTTGTATTAGAGTGCTGTCTTTTTCCGTACTAACGCGCGTTGTTTAAATACATTTATTCTAGACGGTCACGTCGATTATCGCGATCCAAGATGTGTTGATGAGCTTCGCGTTAGGCACACCCGAGTGGTTTTCCGTACGCTCGGTTGGATGGATTGGTGTCGCCATGGTGCGAACAGTTGTGGCTTACGCTGTTGTAGTCAGCATGACGGTATGTCTGCACCAATACGTTGTGCCGAAGCTGTTACGTTTTCTGACCGCCATGGAGGAGGTGCACAACGCTCCTTTGGTACTACTAGGAGTGGTGTCTGTATGCTTATTTATGGCGCTCTTCTCGGAGATGATTGGGCTTTCGCTCGAGTGTGGAGCCTTTCTAGCTGGACTTGCTTTCGTGCACGTTTCTGGCAATGCCAAGGCGGCATTCATGTCGATTCGAGTGATGGAAAACTTGTTTGGAAGTATGTTTTTCGCTTGTGTCGGGATGATTCTACATCCAATGTTCCTGATCCGGAACGCAGGCGAGATTTTATCCATGGTTCTGCTGATTGTGGGGATCAAGACGGTATCAATGACAGGTGTCATGACTTTCTTCCGTATCAGTCCTCGTAAGGCACTCATGGCTGCTGTCGGTCTCTGTCAGATTGGCGAACTTGCGCTCATTTTCATGATCAAAGCGCACGCATCGAAGCTTGTCTCGCGCCGAACTTACCTGCTGTTTGTGGCTGCGATATCTGTCTTCCTCGCTTGTTCGTCGGTCTTTAACCGCAGAATCGTACTCGCGCGTCGAAAATCGATTTACCGGTTACCTTCGACACGAGGCAAGCCCATGGAACGCCATCGAAACTCAAGTGACGTCCTCGATCTCCACATTGACTCAAGACAACGTGCAGGCTCCAGTAGCGCCTATATGGACTCAGGCGGAGAGGAAGATTCGTTCTCTCCGACCTCAAGGGTAAGGCATCAGGCTTCGAAAACTTTCGGACATTGAGGAAAAATACAAAGCAATATTCAAACAGATTTCACAATTGTAAATCTATCAAAGACTTTTCGTGAGAATTAAGCTTTTTCATTAGATTGTCGGAATTTGTACGCGAATAATAATTATGGAAAATTCAATCGTCCTGGTTGGAGTTCCCAGCTTTCGCTTGCTTCGCTGCCGTCGCCACATTATCATCGACTTCAGGTCCATTGGTATGTTCACGATCATCAGGTTGCATCTTCAACTCTTCATCAGGTGGTGCTGTGGTCACAAAAGTATCTTGTTTTTTGTCGGATAGGTTAGCTGGTGCTGGTGGTGGCACTGACAGTGCTTTCGTCACACGCGTAGGCTGAACTGGTGCACACTGCTGCAATGGCAGCGTGGCTTGCTGTAGTAAATACATGAATCCATCACGAACACCTTCGTTGGGAAATTCGAGATGAAGTTCACGGAATCGAGTGCATACAGACAAAACACAAGCAGGATCCACCGCTCGTTTGGAGGAATTGGGCAGGTTCATGGCGTGGCCAGCGAAAAACGGCGCGTCGTCACCGGCAAGGAGTTGACGGATGTCGTGTAGTTTAATGGAGTCATCCAGACGATCCGGAGACAGCGCGGAAGGGGTCAAAGGCTGCTCAACGGTTGAGCTAGGATTTCGCATTCGAAGCACTTTTGCTGCTGGAGGCGTTATTGGAGATGTCGGGGTGCTGCCGGTCTGTCGAGCGGAAAGGTTGAGTGTGAATCCGCCGCTGGCCGTGCGTTCAGTCTTCGCACCACGCTCCCGACGTAGCGAACGCCACCACAGACGCTTCTCGTTAATCGCGTCCGAAGTGCTGCTGGTCGAGCTGTCAGGGGAATGGGGAGACGAAACGCAAGCAGCGTTAGCACTGTGCTCAGACTCATCGTGCTCGTTGTTAGGCGTACCGCCAGTCGGTTGTCGCTTGGGCTCTGACTGAGGAGTATGCAGATCTGGCTGGCTGTTGTCCTCCTTGCCGCCAATACCGAATAGGCTAGTGAAGCTGCGTGCGTTCTGGTAACGCAACAAACCTCGCTTCAGCAGTTTTGGTTGCCAGCTCAGGACTTTACCGTCAGTCGACAGACGCAGTTTAGTGCGATGTGGTAGGCCGTTGCGACCGTATTTAACGGCCTCAAAACCGCCCATAACCAGCTTCTTACGGATCGCTGAAGCTGCTTGCTGACGTCGCGTTAGGTCCGCAAGACGTCGACGTTCCTCGTTTTCCCGACGTAGACGCTCCAGCGTAACTCTACCCGATTGGATCCACGGATGCGTTCGAAGAACTGCCATCGTCGGTCTCTCCTTCGGATCTACGTGTAACATCTTGGAGATCAAAGTCTTGACGTCAGGGTGAATGGCAGCCCAGTCCTTGGACGGATAGCGCACATTGAAGCGATGTGTACGCAACTGAGCGAGTTTCATCGGGAACGGAGGGTATCCGCACAGCATAATGTACGTTACGACACCCAGTGAAAACACGTCCACTTCAAGACCATACGAACGTCCGTCTAAGATCTCCGGAGCTGCGTAACCCGGTGTTCCACACGAGTCTGAAGCCTGATCTTGTTGATGATTGAGTTGCCTAGCAAAGCCAAAGTCGCACAGCTTGACGTCATCTCCAGATAGCAGCACGTTCTCGGGCTTCACATCTCGATGGATAATGCTGTGTGTGTGACAGTAGTGCAGTGCCTCCACTAACGCTGCTGCTACCTTCTGTGCCTCATGCTCTGGGAATTTGCCTTGCTTGACGATGCGGTCGAATAGATCCCCTCCTTCAGCCAATTCGGTGACTAAATAGCACTTGGCGTCGTCTTCGATGACTTCATACAAGCGCATAATGTTGACGTGGCTGACACTCGACAATACCCGCACTTCGTGCGAAAGAGCCGCGCGATCCACATCCGAGAGACTCAGTTTGTCCACGATCTTGCAGGCGTAGAAGCCTCCTTTCTTTCGATGCGTCACCTGCTTCACCGTCGAGTATGAACCTTCTCCTAAGTGTCTCGTGATAGCATAGTGTTGGTGGAAGTCGAGAAAGCTCTTCTCGCCCTTACGGAACGTCACCTTTGGAGGTGGAGAAGCTGTCGGTGGTGGGATATTAACGGATGCGTTCACTGTCGGCACGGCAGCACCCGATGATGACGAAGCTGTGCTGCTGTTACTGCTGTCTTCACTACTACATGGAATAGCGCGAGGTTTCTCCTTCTCTGCATGACCGTGACTACTATGAGGTGAGATTGTCGTAGTAGGAGAGACCTTATCTTCAGGTTCCTCTGGCGTCTCTGGACCTCGCTTTGACTGTGATAGAGCAGTAAACGGTAAGGTATCATGCAGAACTAATACCATCTAGCTGGTCTACTTACATTTGAGGCATTGACCTCCTTCGAGTTGTTGTTTTTAACCCGAGAAGTACCAGACTCAGGTGTGTGTAGCTTCATCGCTTCAAATGGGAGGTCATATTCGTGCTCCCTGTTATTGCTGGAGCTGCTGGATACTCCAGGTCGCTTGCTGTGATGGTAGCTGCTCATAGCCATGTCGGTGGGGCGCGTCCAACCCAGAAGTTGACGTACTTTCATCCGTCCGGGAGGGATCTCGCGGGGCACTGCTGCACAACACAAAGGGTCAGGCTCGCCTCCGATGCACCTTGCAAATGTCATCAGAAGAGATGAAAAGTGCTACCCCGTACCAGAAGGAGAAACGCGCGCCTTTGACGGAAACGGACGACAGACAAGGCTCCTGTATTTTTGGCGGCTGGGGCACCGTTCTCGGCGCGTTGAGTGTGCGATGCTACAGACGTTGGAGAAGTACCAGAAGTGGCCTGATCTATCCGACTAGGCTTGAGCGCTCCAGTTTCTTGTCAGTGACCAGCCACAGGTAAATCCGTTGCGCCGCATGATTTCTTCTACGGTTATCGGGGTTTCATACGTCACTAGTGACGGGTTTTGACCTAAAATGTGCTGGAATAAGAGCCCCATGGGTTGGGCAGCCATGACTTATGGTTTGCAGCTTCAACGCAATCATTTAGGCTTCTCTGTCCTAGCTACTGTGGCCATTTTCTCGTTGAGAAGATTGTCGTCTCTAAGTGCACGGTGCAGTGATGAAGACGGGAACCGGAGTACGCTTAGATCGTTGAAAGCCGCCTCATAACGCGCAAAGTCCTCGTGGTGTTTGGCGACACCACACGGCAAAGGCACTTCGTCCACGTATGGTAGTACACTGACGAGGAGCAATTCGTCACGCTCTTTCGATCCAAGCACGCGGTCTCCGTACGCTGAGAAACTGTTGCCGATGATGACAAGGTTCTTGATCGCTGGGCCCCAGTTGCACGCAAGGACGTTCTGATACAGAGTTTTGCCACAGTGTGGCATGAAGAACACTGTGTTGGAATCTACCTGCCGCCGTCCGTGTTCGTTCTCTAGAATTATTTTCAACTGGAAATGCTCAGCGATCACAGCGTCGTTCTAATTGTCGGATATCACATTTAAAGCACATGTAAGTTTGTAGGACTGAATAAGGTATATAACTACGCATGGATTCTAGAGGAAGTTGCACCTTACCTTGTTCATGGCTGGATCGAATATCTCCGCGCAGTGCTGAATTGTGTCTGAGCTCTCCACCGCTAGGACGTCACCATTGGATTTTCTTAGTCTAGACTCCAAAGATTCCCTCAATGCCACCAGGAAACCCAATTGATGCACGGCATTTGACGACGCACAGAAGCTCCCGAGTCCGTAGCCGACGAGGGTCGGACTGTGGTCGGTCACTTCTTCTGTGTCAACTCCTTCAACGTCTTTATCAACTGATTTCTTGACTGTATTCAGCTCGAAGTGCTCCGCAATAACTCGTAGCGCATCTTGTACTAGTAAGGAATCTCGCAGGATGTCAGCAATGGCACGAACTCGTCCAATGATCTTCGTTTGCTTGTCCGCAGATATCTCCGGCACAGGCTCCACTTCCTCTTCTCCAACTGCAAATTCATCAATTCGGATGGTACGTAAGCTAAGCGTCGTAGGAAAGAATATCGGTACAGGTTTGAATTCAACGCATCCAAGACTGGGAAAACAGCATAGAACTGCAGACCAGTGGTTGATACAGTGAAACAAAGGCACTTCCGGTAGATATGACGCTGTTCCGATTGATTTAGAACTTCTTACCGTTAGCCGCAACTTTCGAAGCTGTCGATGCAGCGAATCGGGGATAAGAAGCTCCATTACGAGGCTTCCCACGCCGGCGGCGTGACACTTGCCGCCATTCCTGCTCCATCGAAAACAGTGGCAACCCAATACCTAGAACGACAATTTTAACCAATCAAACTGATCCTATATTTGTAGCTCTACGAAAACGCAACCCAACGTGTATCAACTTGACAGTGAACTATACGTATTTTACAGAGGATCCCTTCAGTAGTAATCCCTAGAAATGGAATATCCCTCACTAGCAATAAATTTGCGGTTCCCGTTGACCAGTCACTTACAAACCCAAGATATTATTCCCTCTCACCCCTCAATCGTAAAATGAAATACATTTGAAGTCAAATATTCCTATTCTGGGATTCTTAACTATGAAAAAGTCATAACTGTACAGTAACCCCGAAGAAATCTAGCAAAGACTTTTGGTGCTTGTGGCCTTGCTTTCTTCCAAGTTCTCCACGGAGAGTGCGCTGCATTTCTTGCAATCCGCTCACCGATCTATCCGATACGCCAGTCGCACCTGCACGAACTAGAAGCTTAGCGACCTGAGATGCTCTTTAATTGCTTCTGGCTCAAGGTCCTCCTCAATCCACGTACTACGATCCATATCGTCCTCGTCCAGGTTTTCTGAGCCGTTCTCAGAGCCATCTACAGCCAATTCTTGATCATCAACTCCACAGAAGTCATCATCTGTGGGATCTTCTGCAGCTGTGTTCTCGTCCGGCGGGTTCAGCTTGTTCACGGACATTGGGTCCTTAAC